CTCACTGAAGATTTCTCTGTTAAGCCAAGCTTGTCGCCTGCCATATTTGCTATTCTTTCTGCACATCGGGATGGTTTGTTCTTGTGCACTCAATAAGGCTTCTTTAAAATACAGCTAGCTCTCCTGGACTCTTTCCCCCCTCATAATAGCCTCCCAGGGGATCCTGTCCATCAGTTCCAGGGTCCATATTCTGCTGCTCTCCTTTCTTCCTTTTGTCAAGATCCTGAACTCAACCATCTCATGGTCACTGCTGCCCAGGTTACCACCCACTTCTACTTCCCCTACCAATTCTTTCTGGTTTGTAAGCAGCAGGTCAAAAGAAGCACAGCCCCTAGTTGGTTCCTCCAGCACTTGCACCAGGAAGTTGTCCCCGACACTCTCCAAAAACTTCCTGGATTGTCTGTGCACTGCTGTATTACTCTCGCAGCAGATGTCAGGGTGATTGAAGTCCCCCATGAGAACCAGGGCCTGTGATCTGGAAACTTCTTTAGTTGTCCAAAGAAAACCTCATCTACTTCATCCTCCTGATCTGGTGGTCTATAGCAGACGGCCACCATGACATTGCCCTTGTTGCTCTCGTCTCTAAACTTAACCCAAAGACTCTTAACAGGCTTTTCTCGTTTCATACTGGAGCTCTGAGCAGTCATACTGCTCTCTTACATGCAGTGCAATTCCTCCCCTTTTTCTCCCCCACCTGTCCTTCCTGAACAGTTTATACCCATCCATGACAGTGCTCCAGTCATGTGAGTTACCCCACCAAGTCTCTGTTATTCCAATCACATCATAGGTCCTTGACTGTGCCAGGACTTCCAATTCTTCCGGTTTGTTTCCCAGACTTCTTGAGATCATGTACAGGTACCTAAGACAACTAGCCAATTGCCTACTTTCTCAGTATGAATCAGGAGGCCTCCCCTGTTGCACTCTCCTCCTTGTGTTTCCTCCCAGTATCCCACTTCCCCACTTACCTCAGGGCTTAGGTCACCATTCCCTCGCAAACCTAGTTTAAAGCCCTCCTTACTTAGGTTAGCAAATCTGCCTGCGAAGATGCTCTTCCTTCTCTTTGTTAGGTGGATCCCATCTCTTCCTAGCAATCCTCCTTCCTGGAACAACATCCCACGATTGAAGAATCCAAAGCCCTCTCTCCGACACCACCTGTGTAACCATGCATTTATCTCCACAATTCGATGGTCCCTACCTGGGCCTTTTCCTTCAACAGGGAGGATGGACGAGAACATGACTTGCGCCCCAAACTCCTTCATCCTTCTTCCGAGAGCCACGTAGTCTGCAGTGACCCCCTCAAGGTCATTCTTGGCAGTATCATTGGTGCCCACATGGAGAAGTAGGAAGGGGTGGCGGTCTGAGGGCTTGATCAGCCTCGGCAGACACGCCGTCACATCCTGAATTCTAGCTCCAGGCAAGCAGCACGCTTCTCAAGTTTCCCGGTGTGGACGGCAGATGGATGACTCTGTCCCCCTTTGGAGAGAGTCCCCAACCACCACCACCCATCTCTTCCTCTTGGGAACCCCCATCCCTAGTACAATGCATCCCATGCCTTCCGGTCGATGGGGTCTCCCTCTGATCCCAGATAACTCTTCCAAACCATTCTTTGCAGTAGTACCTGTGCAGACAGCCTGAAAACGGTTTCTTACCTCTATCTGCATTGCGGTTACATAGGTTCTCCTCTTTTTTCTTCTGGAGGTCACATGCTGCCAATTTTCTTCCCTGTTCTGCACTGCCCTCTCTGATTCTTTAGCACGCTGTGCCTGCAGTATCAAACGCTGACTTCTATCCAGAAAATCTTCCTTTCCTCAGATGCAACGCAGGGTTGATACTTGGGTTTTAACCTTCTCTTCCAGTATGGAGACCAGTTTGCAATTCATACAGACGAAGTTGCTTCTATCCTCTGGGAGATAGCCTGTGCAGGTCACAACAGTTGGTCGCTCCCTATCCATAATGTCTTCCTTCTGTGAGCAGTAAATCCAACATCTGAAGCGGCTCTTAGAAGCCTGAAAGGCAAAACAACTTTGTGGGAACTTTCCGCAGGCGAATTCCCAGGCAAACTCCCTCTGTTTCCCTGTCCCCTGTTCGCCACTCCACGACCAAGTACCTAAACCAGTGACATGCACATCATATCATCTGGGGGAGGAGGGAATGTAGAATTTGACAGTGGTAACATATGTGGACTGTGGCCCAATATATCAAACCTGGGGATACAGACACCTAAATAAAACTGGCCTGATTTTCAAAAGTTGCTGATCAACCTTGGCTCCCCTTTATGTCAATACTGTATACACACCAGGCTTAAATCAAAAGTGGTAACAGCTTAAAGGTGTGATTTTATACCAATTAATTAAAAACTAGTACAACTGTGTGTGTGGACACTCCTGTCTTTTTAAACCTGGTTTGTAGCAGTTTAGCGTGTCTTGGTGAATGTACAGATGCACGCTAAACTGATATAAGGGCCATGCACAAGAAGTTGCATCAGTTTAACTAATTCCATTTTAATTAATTTGGTGCAACTTTTCTGTGAAGACTCTCCCTTAGGAGGTGCACAAGAGTGGGGGGCTCCCTTTCTGGGGACCTTGATGTCTGAAAAATGACATGCATTGCTCTGCTTTCCTATGGATATCTTGACATACATGAGGGGAAACCTACTCCTTGAGACCTTAGGTGGTGCATACTGAAACAGGGCTCCACCCAAGTAAATTCAGCAGCCATTTGACAAGTCAGTAGTCTTTTCTGTCTTTGTAATCTGTAAATTATTAACTAGAAGACGCATGCCTCCACAACCTCACAGGTTTTGGGATAATTCCTGGAGGGACGCAGCCCCCAACTACTGCAAGCCTTAGGAGACCAGTTAGCCTCCAACAAGCTAAAATGGATGATCAGACACATGAGCATGTGCAATCTTGTCAGTCTCCCAGTGCCCCTGTTTAGGCTTGTAAGGGGGAATCGCTGGGTCTAATAAAACTCCCAAGCATGTTGAGTGATGAAGAGGAATTTAATTTCCTCAAGTCTGAAATAGCCTGAACAACATAAAGATCAGCACATGCTGCAAAGCTCATCCTTTTCCCCAGGCATTTGAAATCAATGGAAAATGATAAGTGTGGGGAATTGATAGAGAGGGGAGGGTAAGCGTTTGTGTTGGTTTGCTGGTAGTAGATTATATTGCTCCAGTTTAGTTACACCTGGATAATAATTTTATTGTATTTCTTAAAATATGTCAAGGGCACCTATAGTGTATGGAAATGCCTGTTTTTAGTATGCACAAGTCTAAATAAATATTAAAACTTGTGGTGTATGTGGGTGGGGGATAGGATCTGATGGGGTTGTAAGGATCATGAAGATGGGGGAACCTTCTAAAGTTTGCAACAATGGTGGAATGTCTCCGATTCTGCTGCCCCCATGTCCCTTTTTATATTCTGTCTGCTCTGCTGGACTCCTCTATGCCTCCAAGCCCTTCCCAGCTGTTTTCCTCCCCTACACATCACATACAGAACCATTCAGAGCCAGGGGAAATGAACATTTTAGGAAGCTGTGCAAGAGAAGAGTACTAAGGCTAGCAGGGAACTGGAGAGGGGGAGACACCATAAAAGGGAGTCATACTTTACCAATTTCCCATTGAATAGAGTAATCCAATTAACCTGATTTTGTGTCTCATTTTGTTCTAAAGCGAGAAAGTTATGCAATTCTGATTTTGATAAAGACTGCCTGACAGTAACATGGACTCCATCACTCAAGAATAAAACGTTCTAGTTTCATCACTATATTATTTTGTTTTACAAAAAAAGAACAAGGAATTCTACGATAGGATTTTTGTTACTATTGTAAAGGAGTACTGTATTCTTTTTGCTGACATATTTAAATACATACTTAAGATTCCTCAATAAAAATTGGTTACTGTGGAGACTACGTTCCTTTAAAGTGGGTTAATTTACAAACAGGTTGTCTTAACTTCAGTCTTGGTGAAAAAAAAATTCTTCTCCCATTGGTAACCCTCCCTAAATGAGACTTGAGTTATATACTGAAAGGTAAGAAGGGCTATCCTTCCTTTTAAATGTTAGTTAAACAAATGAAAGAACAGGTCTCCAGCCGTCATTTGACATCCTAAACTTGTCAGAGCCAATGACCCACAGCAATTTTCCTACTGAAAAAGTTATTACATTTTCAAATTAAATTGTAATCAAATAATCTTTAGTACTGTGCACTGGATTTCAGCTAGCAGAATCAATAAACTGGGTTTTATCTTCCTTTTCTTCTACCACTTGACAACAAGTAAACTCTTGTGAACATCCCTATTTGAAGGGTGCCCTAATTCAGAAGCCCCATGTCCAGTTCACTTTAAATCTGATAAAAAAAACCAACAACCACCCTGTAGCTTGAACCCAGACTTACTGCTATGAACTTTGAGAGTGATAGAACTATTTGTGGGGATTTCAGAGACAGGCTAAAATCAAGCTTATAGTGGAACCTCAATTATAACTGGCCACTTTTATAATAAACGTTAAAATAAAAAGTATCTGTTTGAAAGAAAATGTGATGTTGACATAACCACTGTAACATTTTCCAAAGCATAGCTTGTTTTACAATCTTAAAAGCACTTACAACTATTGCATTGTCTCAATCCTATTCAGAAGTGATGCTTACCATTTACAATTGGGTTTCCTTCAGTCTATACATGAAAATGATGAAATATGAAAACAAGATAATATTAACTGGGCTCAGTTCCTTGCTTGCCATTTTAAAAGAAAAATAAGTATGAGTGAAAAATGAGGAAAATGTGGAGTGAAACTGAAGCACACAAAAAAGTTTCATTTTATCAGTGTTCAAACAAAACTACTTTGTTTAAATAATTGCTAACAAAAATCCATTCATTTAAAAACAGATTACAATTAACCTTGGTAAGATACAAACAAATAATTAACACCACTGAATTTGCATTGATTCAAGATGGTATACATGAAAACTGATTTTCGAAATAAAGAATAAAACTTTAAGGCTACCAGCACAACCATCTAATTATTTTTATTAGCTATGAATGCTGTCTGCAAAATAATTTAAGATTTAATTATTCCAGTTACAAACATTTGTAAAAAATAGAATTATGAAAAGGTACAATGTGTAATCTACATAGTCATACTACAGAAGAGCCCGGCTATAGACAGTTAATAGAAATGTGAAGTTTTCAATAAAAAACTCAAGCTTAAAATGAACCTCTACCATGAAACTGGAATTTTCAACATTTGTCACAAATACTAACTGAGGTTTACTAATGTGCTTGTCATATACATAACAAGGGTGGGTCAATTATTTATTTATTTCTAAAGAGGCAAAGTCTGTTTGGAGAGCTTCATCTCGGTCCCCACTTAATATCTTTTACACCATGAAACTGTCTTTTCAAAGCATGACTGTCTGCCCATTCTGAATTTAAATAGGAGTCGTCATCATTTTCTTCTAATTTCTGCAAATAAAATTAACAAAGAAGCTTTTATGAAATAATTGAAAAGAGACAGTTATATTTGCTTCACTCTATTTGTTGTGTCTTGTAACACAGTAGAATCACTTGTTACCTTGAGTTCCTCCTGCTTCCTGTGATAATACAGCATCATCTGTTTTTGCTCTTCATTACTTATCACTGGTTCACGTGATGGGGCACCTTGTCCTTTCTGGAAGTAAATTGATAAAGTTTATTCATGATGGTATGTTCAATACAAAAAAAAAAGTACACAAGAATCTTAAGGTGCTAAACAAATATTTCCTCAAACAGTAAGTCTTCTCAAGTTTCATGGCTTTATATAAGACAGAAGAATCAACGTTAAAGTTTAATTTAACTGAGAAATATTCCTCTACTTCTGGGACCAATCAGTTACATTAAAGTCAAGGGAGTTGTGAACTTGATGATTAGGCCTCTGTCTATTTTATTTATGAACTTAAAAATATTGAAATTTCTATAATAGTAATTAACAAAATCTTTCAGAAAGCTTTAGCCTATAATCACTGACATCAATGGCAAAGTTGTCATTGGCTTTAATGGTGCAGGATGAGGGCTGCAATTCTTAAGGTTACAAAACAAACTCAATAATAAAACATTTTTTAAAATGTCTTGTTTAAATTCTATTTTTCCACAATTTAAAATTCTTAAAGATGTCTCACTATTGTCCTCATATACATAACAATCTTAGTATCTAAATTTGTGAAGCAAATGATGTGCTTTCCCCCCCAATTATGTTGAATTTTAAATTCAAAGGGTAGGTCTACACTTACCCGGTAGTTCGGTGGCGAGTGATCGAACTTCTGGGTTCGACTTATCGCGTCTTGTCTGGACGCGATAAGTCGAACCCGGAAGTGCTCGCCGTCAACTGCGGTACTCCAGCTAGACGAGAGGAGTACCGCAGAGTCAACGGGGGAGCCTGCCTGCCGCGTGTGGACCGAGGTAAGTTCGAATTAAGGTACTTCGAACTTCAGCTACGTTATTCACGTAGCTGAAGTTGCGTACCTTAGTTCGAATTAGGGGGTTAGTGTAGACCTGGCCAAAGACTAGTTTTATCCATGTTCAGTTTGTCTATGTACACTGTACTCATGACACTGAAACAGTTTAATCCATGAGAAGCAATTAAAATTTACATTTAAACATAAGTATACTTAGATTTCATCTTTAATCATGGATACGAAGCTTTTTGGGTTCTTTGTTTTGCAGTATCATCTTTGTGGGCCTCTGCTGTCTGCTGATGTCACTAACAGTGACCAGGATCTGGGTATATGTAAAAATCATTTAGATCTCTTGGAGGGGACTTGAGCTACCGTATCTGGTGATCTTGAGTTCCTCCCACCACTGGAGCTGAAGAGCTGACTAGTACTGTAGCAGTACTACTAAACAATGAAGCAAAACATGTTCTATTGGCTGAGAAGAGCAATGGTGACTCATGTTACGTAGTCTCTGCAAGATCACTTGGTACTGAGAAGAACGTCAGTATCAAGAAAGCTGGTGCCAGAAGCATTTGCACTACAGGGGTCAGCTCCTCAGTCATGGTGCCGGGACCACATGTGCTAATACTAATACAGTTTGGTACTGAGAAGTTGGTACCAAGTGAACTGCGGACTGCTATATCAGAGGGTACCATGTGTACTTGGTGACCAGATTTTGCTAAAACAGCCAATAACCCAATCTGGCTGTAAACTGCCTTTGGGGTGAGTGACCTGAAAAGATCTTTGCCTCATTTTACTAGGCCCTGGGAAAGGTGACCTAGGCCTGTGCTCACTGTGGGAACAATGTTCCTGCCTGTGCCTTTCACATGACTGGGTGGTGGTGGAGGACTTAGCTGACAGTCTTGGGCATTGAAGGGTTTGATCTCTTTGAAGCGAGGTTGGAGTTGAGCCACAGCTCAGAGGAGCAGTAGCTGAGGAAGAATGTTCAAGCCCTTTTTTCTCTGTTTCCAAGGAAGCTCTCACTGAGTACTCTGGAAGAGTTTAAGACAGGCCTCTCTCACCTTGTGTGTCCTCTTGGTGAAGGAGCAACACACTGAGCATCTATTAGGGATGATGTGCCCCTCGCCAAGACACAAAAGGCAGCTTGAGTGACTGTCATTGAACAGAAAAGCCTCATCAAAGGCGAGGCAAGTTTTGAACGCTCCGGGCTTTGTTTCAGCCATAATCCTAGATGCATCCCGTACTGGGGAAGTCCCTAGCAAAAGTTTGTTTTTTTTTTTTTTTTTTTTTTGGAGAGGGCCAATGGGTATAAAAGAGGAAAATTTAAGCTTACCACATTACCTATCTTCACACACACGGAAAGTCACACAATACACAAGGAAGTAGACACTGCAGGGGTTCTGTCTAGCAGCCACAGTCAGTAAGAAGGAATGGAGGAATGGTTGGGCACACTCCACCCTTTATGACTTCAGGTGTGAGGGGATGCGGCGAGGGCATCCAAGGTGCAGATGCAACCCCAACGGACACTGGTGGCCAAAATAATCTGATCTTGCACATGGGATGCACATGTATCAGAAAGGTAATCTATGAGGACAATCACTTGAACAAATTTTCTATCTCAACTTCCATCAAATGACATTTTTATTTCATTTTTAGTCTAATGCGAACCTTAATATCTGCAATTTTTGGTTGTTCTTTCAAAAGTATATTCTGTAGTATTGGCAGGATTTCACTTTAACTCAGTTTTGGTTTTATAACCTTAAGAGATCCAAGCTGAAATTAACCAGATCCATTTTCTAAACCTATTAGAAATTCTCTGTAAAAAAGTCAGTGCTGAATCATAAGTAGAGACTGACAGTAATACTCACTTTCTGTATCTTGACAATGATTTTAGTTTTTTCATTTTTGCCCACAAAGTCTGAAAGCTTGTTTGTTCTTTTTAACTCCTTTGCTGCCCACCACAATTGTGCTTCAGACTCTTCAATAACCTCAAGTCCAGCCTGTGACAATTATAATTTGCAAGAAAAAAATGACATTAGTAATTTTTGCATAAACAGACTCTTGCAGCAACCTTCCATAGTCAGTTTATAAGATGACCCCTCTAGGATTAACAACAAAAAGCTCAGTTAATATTTAAAATTCTCTTGGTTTTACACTCTATCCTTATTAAAAAAGGGTTACTGCTATATCTTTCTTCCTCTGATCTCAATCTGTAGTGTCTTGGTCATCCAATACAGTACTATCCTCTTCAGTTCTGACTCCAGTTTTATCACTCAAAGTGTTTAATTATCATAGGTGTTTAAAATGGACAACCAAATAAACCCACATGAAGTCACATTAGGATGGGGCATTTTAACTGAATATGTGTTTGTTCATCTTATTTTTAATTAATTTATTGACACTTCATGTACTTTTAAAAACCATTAGAGACAAAAATATTTAGAAACCAACAACAAATCAAATAATCACTGCCACATGAAATGAAGAATTTCTTTTTCCTTTCCTTGGAGAGCATAAATTAAACCCAGACACTGTATATAACCCAAATATGTTACTACATACATGAGTTCCCGACAAGTCTTCTTTATCTTCAAACTCCATTCTAATTGGATCATGTGGAGGCAATCCCATCGGATAAACAATCATTACAGCTCCTCGGAGCTGGTCCAGTGCATCTTTCACCATCTCCATATTAACACATACGTTAGCTTGAACTTGTTTCTGAGATACAGACAGGAGCCATTGTTAAAATTTAAACAAAGTAATTAAGTTAGGAGGAAAGCATCTGTTTTGCAATCAGTTCATAATGTTAAACAGTGTGATATTTAAATGAAGCCAACTGGCTAAATAGAAACTTATGTCAGAGCAAATCACTCTTAGTTCTCTTTATCCTGATTCATAAAACAGCTGCACATAGAATAACAAGACAAAAGTTTACTGCTATTTGCTTTTATTGGCAAAGAAATTAAATCTCAAATATCCATTAAATGCCTGCTACACAACTTAATAAAATTTCGGCTGTAGCTGTCTATTGAACACAGGCATTCAAATAAGCGTGCCGATGACTGTAGAAACTGGAGGGGGAAATCTCTTATTTTGACTATTTTTGATTCATGGACAAAAGTAGTAAAAGTCAAATGAGGGTTAGAAAGGGGGTCCTATGGACCTGAGACTTCAGATAAAAGAGCACCTGCAAATGAAACACACGAATGAGCAAAACACAAATGGGATCTCCTCTAAGGCAATGCTTAGCACTCTGTGCAGCTCATACTGAGATTTGTAGCAGCACAGACACTTAATTGCCGTATGACTGGAAGAGAGACAAGGTAGATGAGGTAGTATATTTTATTGGACCAACTTCTGTTGGTGACCTGAAGAAGAGCTCTGTGTAAGCTTGTCTCTCTCACCAACAGAAGTTGGTTCAGTAAAAGATATTACCTCACTCACCTTGTCTCTCTGGGACTGACGCAGCTCCTACACTGCATACAACATATGATTGGAATAATCATTGCACAGATGAGAAGAAACAAGAAGCAGCTGAAACAAACTTTTATAGTTCACTAATGAATTTTGCCTCAAAGTTTTCAATACAGGGAGTTATAAAAAGGAGACTAAAAGAATGATGCCTCCTTGTGGACGTTATTAGCCTCAATAGCTGGTAAGTACAATATATTGCTCCCCAATCTGCAAGACCAAACTTGGCAAGAAAAGTACTGTGTGTGTGTTCATTTTCATCATTATGGACTGATAATTTGAAAACAAATTAATCTCCAAACCCAAGGGGGGAGAGGGGTAGCTCAGTGGTTTGAGCATTGGCCTGCTTAACCCCAGGGTTGTGAGTTCAATCCTTGAGGGGGCCACTTAGGCCTGGTCTACACTACGAGTTTAGGTCGACTTTAGCAACGTTAAATCGAATTAAGCCTGGACACGTTCACACGACAAAGCCCTTTCTTTCGACTTAAAGGGCCCTTTAAACCAGTTTCTTTACTCCACCTCCAACGATAAAACCGTTTAGCGATAAAACTGGCCTTAGCGGGTCGGAATTGGGGTAGTGTGGACGGAATTCAATGTTATTGGCCTCCGGGAGCTATCCCACAGTGCTTCATTGTGACCGCTCTGGACAGCACTCTCAACTCAGATGCACTGACCAGGTAGACAGGAAAAGACCCGCTAACGTTTGAATTTCATTTCCTGTTTGCCCAGCGTGGAGAGCACAGGTGACCACGCAGAGCTCATCAGCACAGGTAACCGTGATGGAGTCCCAGGATCGCAAAAGAGCTCCAGCATGGACCGAACGGGAGGTACAGGATGTGCTCGCCATATGGGGAGATGAATCAGTGCTAGCTGAACTCCGTAGCAGTAAAAGAAATGGCAAAATATTAGAAAAGGTCTCCAAGGCCATGAAGGACACAGGCCATAACAGGGACGCACAGCAGTGCCGCGTGAAAATTAAGGAGCTACGGCAAGCCTACCATAAAGCCACAGAAGCATACGGAAGGTCCAGGGCAGAGCCGCAAACTTGCCGCTTCTACGCGGAGCTGCATGCCATTCTAGGGGGTGCAGCCACCACTACCCCAACCGTGTGCTATGACTCCCTCACTGGAGAAACACACAGGGAAGAGGGTTCGGGGTACGAGGAAGATGAGGATGGAGGTAATGTAGATAGCTCACAGCAGCAAGGAAGCGGAGAAACCGATTTCCCCAACAGCCAGGATATGTTTGTCACCCTGGACTTGGAACCAGTAACCCCCGAACTCACCCAAGACCCTGAGGGCACACAGGGAACCTCTGGTGAGTGTACCTTTGTAAATATTACACATGGTTTAAAAGCAAGCGTGTTTAATGATTAATTTGCCCTGGCAATCGCGGCCAGTACAGCTACTGGAAAAGTCTGTTAACGTGTATGGGGATGGAGCGGAAATCCTCCAGGGACATCTCCAGAAAGCTCTCCTTAATGTACTCCCAAAGCCTTTGAAAAAGGTTTCTGGGGAGGGCTGCCTTATCCCGTCCGCCATGGTAGGACACTTTACCACGCCAGGCCAGTAGCACGTAGTCTGGAATCATTGCATAACAAAGCACGGCAGCGTATGGTCCTGGTGTTTGCTGGCATGCAGACAACATCCATTCCTTATCGCTCTTTGGGTATGTCTACACTACGGGATTAATCCGAATTTAGA